TGTCCAAGTTACAAGGACAAGGCTATGATGGAGCTAGTAATATGAGAGGTGAGTTAAATGGTCTTAAAGCAAAGATTTTGAACAAATATCCTCAAGCATTTTATATTCATTGTTTTGCACACCAACTCCAACTAGCTCTTGTATTTGTGGCAAAGGAAAATGAGGATGTTGCCAATTTCTTCATCAATGCTAATAGATTGGTGAATCTTATTGGATCTTCGTGCAAGCGTCGTGATGCATTGAGAGAGAAACAACAAGAACAAATTCAAAAAGCTCTTCATCTTGGTAATCTTGAAACGGGTAAAGGGTTAAATCAAGAAAGTAGCCTCATGCGTCCATGTGATACACGGTGGAACTCGCATTATGGTACTATAGTTAGTATTATTGTTATGTTTGAAGCCGTGGTGGAGGTGGTTGAATGGATTAAAAGTGATCGCAACCAAGATAATCTCGGTGAAGCTACTGGGTTATTCAAAGACATACAAACTTTTGATTTTGTGTTTCACCTTTTCTTGATAAGACTTATATTGGGAATTACAAATGAGTTATCACAAGCATTGAAAAGAAAGATCAAGATATTGTGAATGCGATGGCGTTAGTGGAAGTATGCAAGCAAAGACTACAATCCTTGAGAGATGATGACTTTGGGGACTTGTTGCATGATGTAGAAAAGTTTTGTGAGGAGCATGATATTGTCATTCCTAACATGGAGGATTTGCATTTCGTACCTGGAAAATCAAGGCGTAAAGCTCCAAAAATCACAAACTTCCATTACTATCGTGTAGACCTCTATTTTCAAGTCCTTGATATGCAACTAAAGGAATTGAATGATCGCTTCAATGAGGTAAACACCGAGTTGCTTCTTTGTATGGCATGTTTGAGTCCAGTGAATAATTTTGCATCTTTTGACAAAGAAAAAATTGTTCGTTTAGCCCAACTTTATCCTCAAGATTTTGATCGTATGGACCTCATGAATCTTCCAATTCAACTTGACAATTACATTCAAGATATGAAGATGCATAGTGAGTTTTCATCATTGAGAGGAATCAGTGATCTTGCAAAAGAGTTAGTGAAGACTGGGAGGTGTGAAAGTTATATGTTAGTGTATAAGCTTCTTACATTGGCTTTGGTGTTACCGGTTGCAACCGCTTCGGTGGAGAGAGCTTTTTCTGCTATGAAGATTGTGAAAACACCATTGCGTAATAAAATGGGAGATCAATGGTTGAGTGATAGCATGATTGTTTACATTGAGAGAGATGTATTTGCTTTTATTGATAATGAGCCTATTATGCGACGTTTTCATGACATGAAACCTCGTCGACAACAATTGTAATTTGTTTTTATTGATTAATTATGGAAGACATTATTATATACAAAGATTTAGTTGTTGCTATTTTTTTTAACCTTGCACTGTTTTAAATTCGCCCCTCCCCCCGAGAAATCCTGGCTTCGCCACTGATAGCTATACCCTTCTTTGGACTTAATAGGAGATGAACCCCATACATCTGTATGAATGACTTCAAAGGGAACAAGAGACTTTGAAGCTACTAAAGGAAAAGGTAACTTGGTGAACTTGCCTTGTAAATAGGCAGTATAAGTTTGAGGTGTTGAATTACATGGAAAAGTAATGGCTGATTTACTAAGAGCTACTTGAGTTACAAAATTGGTGGGATGACCCAATCCGCAAGCCAAAGAGTTGCATTTATTCTTTGTCCAAGAAATGTTGCAGGATTTGTCTTTGGTGGTTTGAGAATGGGAAGTGGATAGACAGCTTGGTTACTTAGTCCTTGATATAGAACCTTATTGGTGACCTTGTCCTGTATACACACAGAAAACTCATCAACAATACACCTACAATTATCGTCTTTGCATAATTGATACATAGACAGTAAGTGTTGTGATAGTTGTGGAACATATAACACAGATTTTAACTTAAGTGTATAAGAAGGAGTAGATAAACTAGCTTGACCAATGTGTGAAATGTGTAAACCTTCACCATTAGCACCAGTCACAGTTTCTGATGAAGCATATGGGATAGCAGAATGTAGATTAGATAGATCAGATGTCATGTGATTGGTTGCTCCACAATCCAGCAACCAATACTCTTGTTGTGGGGATATTGGAGAGAAATTAGTGCTTGCAGTAAAAGCAACAAGTGAGCTGTTGTGAGAATACATCATCCCATTGGAATGCTGAGATGTAGACATTATAGTAAGATTTTGCACTTGATATTGGAATGTATTTGGTGACTGAAAATGTTGCTGCAAATGATATGAAGGCTGTTGAAATATCATGGGAGATGGAGAGTAATTCTGAGACATAGGTGCAGCATTGTTTCTGTCAAAACAAGTTGCAGCAGTATGCCCTTTTTGTGACAGATTTGACACCCATTCTGAAACAATTCAAAGCTACATTTCCCTTTTTATCACATATTTGACAAATGAGTAGAGGTTTAAACGATTGGCCTGAAACCATTTGAGATCCAAGATTCTGAAACTGAGACTGAGACTGGAGAGGAGAGTGTACAAAATTCTGATATCCAGAAGGCTGTTGATAACCAGCATTGAACTTCTTCCTTTTACCCTTGGATATGTAGTTATTCCTCCTGAAATTGTATAAGTTCCAGATCCAGTCTGAGAGACAAATGCAACATGACCATTTGAATAAGGAAAAGGCAGTTGCTGAAACTGAGGCATTGGTAAAAAAGAGGAAACATGAGATCCTATGTCAAAATGCCTAGTTTGAGACTTAGAATGGGAAGATCCACCAGCTTCATAAACTGAATTACAAGTATTGGCAAGCATAGCTGCCATTAAAGATGGTTGTTTAACAACTTCCTCCAAAGTATACTCTTCCGCCTTTAACTGGGACCTAAGCTCTTTCAATGAAACCAAATTTTCTCTGCCCCAAACGACAGACTTAATAGTATTGTATTATGTTGGTAATCCTCTCAGAGCTACAATAACAATATCTTTATCAAAAATCACAACACCAGCTGTCACATCCCGGCCTGGGGCGGACCACTTCTTGGGCCCGCTCCCCCACCGTAACACTATATTGTCTGCTTTGGGCCCCGACCATGCCCTCACGGTTTTTGTTTCTGGGAACTCACGAGCAACTTCCCAGTGGGTCACCCATCCTGGGAGTGCTCTGGCCTCATTCTCGCTTAACTTCGGAGTTCCTACGGAACTCGAAACCAGTGAGCTCCCAAAATGCCTCGTGCTAGGTAGGGATGGAAATATACATTTAAGGATCACTCCCCTGGACGATGTGGGATGTTACCATCCACCCCCCTTAGGGGCCTGACGTCCTCGTCGGCACACTTCTGGCCAGGGATTGGCTCTGATACCATTTGTCACATCCCGGCCCGAGGCGGACCACTTCCTGGGCCCGCTCCACCACCGTAGCACGATATTGTCCGCTTTGGGCCCCGACCATGCCCTCATGGTTTTTGTTTCTGGGAACTCATGAGCAACTTCCTAGTGGGTCACCCATCCTGGGAGTGCTCTGGCCTCCTTCTGGCTTAACTTCGGAGTTCCTATGGAACCCGAAGCCAGTGAGCTCCCAAAAAGCGTCGTGCTAGGTAGGGATGAGAATATACATTTAAGGATCACTCCCCTGGGCGATGTGGGATGTTACACCAGCATTAGCTAATTGATCCTTACAATCCTTAATTCTCTGCAAATGCACATCAATATATTTTGGCACTTTCTTAATATTTTGCGGTTCAATCTTCATTTGGACAATACTAGTACGAGTCATATGAGCAAACCTTTCTGTCATATTATTCCACATATCTCTTGAGCTTTGACAACCAATCACACAAGATAATGCAGCAGTAGAAAGAGTTGCAGTAAGCAAAGCCATAAGAGCTTTATCATGTATTTTCCAAACTTTATAAGCATCAGTCAGTGGAGAATTATTAACAATCGACTCATCATCAGACTCCAACTCATTATATTTCTGAGGACATGGAATGGATCCATCAATAAACCCCATAATTCCATTCCCTTCTAGTAACAATATGATCTGAAAATTCCAAGTAACATAATTTGAATCATCCAACTTCACAGTAACCGTGTTTCCAATGCTAGGTATAAGCTAAGAAATTGGAGATTGTGTGAGAGCTAATTGTGCAGTGGTAACCATGATAAATCAACACAAAAATCAATCGTTTGACAATGAAGAAAATTTTCAAGAAACATAGAATTTGTCGTGGACAGCAAGCAATCTTCTAACACAAGATTATTTACCCAAGAAATCAACAGAAAAACACCAACAACAACAAATTGATATCCACAGAATGATCAAGAACAAATGATGAGTAGCGAATTCGGAAAAAAAACACCTCAATTGCAGCAACAAGAGATGACCAGATCGATAATCAACAGCAACTTCAACGATTGACGACCAAATCAACAGTCTCCGACGAAAAAAAAATCAACCGCCAAAGAAAACTACACTAAAACAGAAATCGCACCTCAAATTAAATGTCATGTTTAGGTTGTTTGCTAGAGTCCATATATTTAGTATGACCTCAACCACACTAGAATGTCATTATTTTCCACCCTTATTCGACATACTGTCAAATTATCTCTCATTCCTCGTCACTCTTTCTCTCAAAACTCATCTGAGAATTCTTACTGTGGTCAAATGCAAATGAATCTCTGATCAAATAATAGGCCACAGCACTCCATTGGGTACTTTTTACGGCTCACAATGTCCATCATTTGTGCAATTAGCTATGCTATGCTAGGCTAAGCTAGTTGATTATATATCATTCTCCCATACCATTTTCTTGCTGTCATCATGTAATAACCCATTCTCAAAATTTGGCATAATTTACAACTTTGCCATTTGGATTGGGGCGGTGACACTTAGGCCCAAAAGGTTGGGTGTGGGAGTGTTGGCCCAAAACCCGGCCCAAAAATCCTGTTTGTTTACCCCACCCGTGAAGTTGTGAACCCCTCTCTTCTTCCTTATTCTTTTCTGCACCTACTCTTTGTCTCACTTTATCTCTACTCTGCATTCTCTATGACACCGAGAGAGAGAACTACAACTGTTCCCTTCCAATCTGATCAAACCAATATCCAAAGACTTGAAGTTTAGACCTTTAGGACCTAGTGAACCCACCTGCACGGCTGCATGTGGAATCGGTGTATCTCTGTGTAATCTGCAATGTACACCGAGAGCATGAAGCTCTCAGACTAGCACTCAGGTGATGCTTTCCCTTCCTATCTTTGAATATCTGGGATTTTCATGTTGGTGATATGATTTTGTGTGAAATATCAAAGGTTAAACCTTGTTACTTTCTCTGTGCATGCACTGTGTATTTAGTTCCAGAATCCGACAAGGAAAATGGGTCGGAGCTTGGAGAAATCGAAGTGATTTGCGTCTGAAATAAACTTCAAACACTCTCAGGTATCTTTCCCAACTTCCCTATGCCGAATTTGAGTGGATTTCCAAAGAAAATGAGGCTTCAAATCTCTGTCTTCAGACTCTCTCTAACTATCGACACCTTTCTTCTCTCTTCTCTCCGCAGAGAGAGACCATCATTTACAACCATCACGTTTCACGACCAGATTTAACTCGAGACCACCATAATCAGCTTTTGGGTGGTCTGGGGGTCCTGCAAACTGCTTGCATGGATAATCGGAGCTCGGAACAGTGGCGAACTCTTAAATCCGAGAGTTTCGAATTTTCGTTGTCGAACTCAGGTAGATTTCCTGTCCTAATTTCTAGTTGGTTTGGACGATTTTGAGTTCTATAAGGTTTTAAGGTTTGTTTTGAACCGAAATTCGGGGGTTACACCTTCTGTTGCTTCTGTTCTTCAAACCCCAGTTTCCGATGAGGGAAATCCGGTGAGGCCGCGTCGATCCGGAGATGGACTCGACTTGAACTCGTCTAGTTCAATATTCTGGTATGTTATCTGAGCTTCTTGTGTGATTTTGGGTGAAAATTTCAAAGTGGGCTTGAGGTTTAACCTCCGTATGTGTCCTGTGCGAATTTGCAGAATTTTATGGCCCGAACCGGGAAGGTTCGGTCACCTAGTGATTTAAATTTGTGTCTAGGTAAAATTCTGGGCTTCTGGTATGAAGTTGGAGAATGAAATCAAAGGAATTCAAACTGATATGTACTGTGTTTCAAGCCCCGGACCATGCGAGCATCACCGGTGCTATTTTGGTGAAACTATTACTTCCTAATCCTCCTAAATTGAAGTCTTGGTAATTTTCTAAACACATTTGTGAGATGTTAGTTTAAATCTTGTGATTTGGGACAAATTTTAGTTAATGCTTAAAATTAAGTAGTTAATATTTTTATAGGTGCAATATTAAGGGTTACTAACTGGACTGAGGCATCTATTAATGATTGTGCTTGGAATTTGGTGAGTGGACCCCTTCTAAAATGATATTTTTATAAATCTTAGGGTTGCATGCATATTTTATTTCGGAATTTCATATTCTTTAAATATGTTTACAAATTGGCATATCTTAGAGATTTGGATATTTTATTAGTTAATTAAATTGTTTTGTGAATATTTTGATTATATTATATTACTTTTTATTAAAGGTTGTAAACTATGGATTTATACATACGAGTTTCAGTGGATTTATGATGAGATAGATTTATGAATTTTGGTACGAGGTTTTAAGTAATTGAACCTTGACATATTGATACTTTGGGTTGAGAGTGGAATTATGTTTTGGGATATATATATATATATATATATATATATATATATATATATGTATGTATGTATGTATGTATGTATGTATATCTAGCGGATCATATAGCACATCCACACAACACGGGTATTAGATGTCTATGGCCATAGGACACGGAGATGAGGAGGAGTGAGATATAGGTTATACCCCCAGCTTCATTGCCGAAAACAGTGTCGGACAGCTTCACTAATCACGGCTAGTGTCGGTGTGTGATGTTACATATTTCTTCTCTTGCATAACCCAGAGTCGTACAACTTCACCTTTGGGTGATGGGGCCTACCATGTTTCTTAATTGGTGTAACCCAGTGTCGTACAACTTCACATTCGGGTGATGGACAGGTGCTGCCTTCAGGCGACTATGATACCCCTAGAGAGTATAGTTTTACTCAGAATTATGGTTTTGCCTTTGGGCGGTGACAGTACAGTTTTGATGCCTCGGGTTTACATACAGGTTTTACGGAGGTTTTTCATGGCATAGTAGAGTTTTTGGAAACCTATTACGTAGTAGTATATATATGTTTTCAAAACAGGGGGTTATTATGTTCATAAAAGAAATGATTTTATTATTATTAGTATTATTTTAAACTTTGGTTCACTCACCTTTTCTGTTTTGCGCCCTCTCAGGGTTTAGTTTCGAGGCACATGATCCCGGCGTCAGGATGCTTCGGCTTAGTGATTCTCGAGTCTTCTCAGTTTAGGTATCATTCTTGGGTTGGTATAGTTTCCTAGTAATTTTTCGACATTATTCTTAATAGATGTATGATCTGAATACGTTCCTGTTCTGATGTAATTGTTCTAATTGCATAATTATTTTAATTATATGCATGTTTAAAATGGTTTCGTCGCCCTAGGGTGTCGGCCAACACGTGTCTATCCTGATATTTGGGGACCTCGGGTTGGGACGTGTCACATCAAATGCACATGAGAGAGTGGGGAGAATAGTAAAGAAAAGAATTCTCGTATGGGTTGGTTAATTAATGTATTGTGTGAAAAATGAGACTCTTTTATGCGTAGACATGTGTAAATTTTAAAGAGCGCTACTGCTCCCACCCTATGTGTTATTTTCCCACCCCACGTCAAAGTAAATATTTTGTTTACAACCTCTTTTTTAAAAAAAAAACATGGGAAAATGTCATTTATAAGATGTTCCTTGTGATTTTATACTCGCACGCATGAAGATGAATTGAAACTTATTCATAACATTGTTGAAGGGATTTCCGCGCAAGTAATAAACCGTACATATTTGGATGTGGCCGAATACCCAGTTGGAATAGAGTCTCGTGCACAAGAAATAAATAACCTCTTACATGTCGGGAGAAATGATGTCCGTATGGTAGGTTTACGGGGGACTGGTGGAATTGGTAAATCAACAATTGCCAAAGCTGTTTATAATTTAATTTCCCACAAATTCGAAGGCATTTGCTTTCACAGTAAGGTTAGAGAAAGTTCAATGACAGATAAAGGATTGGCCAAATTACAAAGGACACTTCTTTATGAGATTCTAGGGGCAAACAAGTTGAAGGCGGCCAATATTGATAAAGGAATCACTTTAATTAAGGAAAGATTAAGCAGTAAAAGGATTTTCTTAGTTCTTGATGATGTGAACGACATGAGACAGTTACGCTGCTTAGCTGGGGGATCAGATGGTTGGTTTGGCATTGGTAGTAGAATTATCATAACAACGAGGGATAAGAAACTGTCAACTGCTCATCATCATAATATTTCAATATACGAGGTGAAGAAATTGAACGATCATGTATTCCATTACCGGCTCACATAAACTTGGAGGTGGATGAGGGTGGTGATCAATCAAAGCCGTATCTGTGTTGAGTTAGTGTTTACCGCGTAGTTGGAAAAGGGTTGCTCTTAAATGGCGGTGAAGATGACGATGATGTAGGAGGTGAAGTTCGACCAAGAAAAAAGAAAAGGATGCTGGCGATCAAGGGTTGAATGTGAGTTGCAACATTTTCAAATCTCTAGTCATGTTTCTGTGATGGTCATTCTTGTTTTGAAAGTATTTCTTCTGCTAACTAACCAGGTGTGGGGTTTTATACAAACTATATTTAACTCGGTCAGGGTTCCGACGTGGGACTTCACATTCTTCAACGCTCATCTCTCTCGTGTATCCCGGACCCTGGCGATAAAGAGTTTCCATTGTAGCACAAGAGGACGTAACAGAAACAAGAAAAACATAACCAGTGAATTACCCCATCACATGGAAATCTATTCATCAATTTATGACCACTCTTCATTAATACAAATTTCAAACCAGGTAGCATATTATTCTGCACATGAAGCATTAGGAAAAATCTTCAAAGCTCCATCCATTCTCGCCTTAAATTCTTTGCGAACCTCATCGGCCATCCCTCCATTGCAGAGAGCACCCGAAAGTATCTTCAAAGTTAGGCGATTAGGTAAGATTCCATGGCATAACATTTTGTCAAACAACCTTGTGGCTTCTCTCCATTGGTTGGTACGACACAATCCATTAATTAAGGAGTTGTAAGTCACAACATTAGGCTTTTCCCCCCTACTGATCATTTCTTCCACAAGATTCAGTGCCTCTGCTGTCTTCCCTTCCTTGCATAAAGCATCCAGAACAGCACTGTATGTAACAATATTAGGCAAGGCTCCATAACCAATCATGGTTTTGAATAACCTCACACCTTCCTCCCAGTTACCAGACTTGCATGATGCAGAAATCAAGGAAGTAAAAGTGACAACATCAGGCTTTATGCCTTTCGTCGTCATATTTTCCAACAAAGTAAGCGCTTCTTGAATTCTTTCTTCCTTGCAAAGACTACTGATAAGAATACTATATGTGTATACATCTGGTGAAATTCCACTGTTAAGCATGCAAATCAAGTAGCTCTTGGCCTTTTCCATCCTCCCCGATTGGCACAATGCATAAATTAGTGTGTTGTAGGTGACAACATTAGGCTTGACTCCGTGATCTACCATTCCTTCAAAAAGAGAGAGCACTTCTTCCCAGCGACTCGTGTTGCATAACCCATGAATCAATGTGTTATAATTGAAAACATTCGGTACAACACTTTTGCTGATCATATCTCGAAATAGGATCAAGGCCTCGTCTATTCGTCTTTCTTTACAGAGGCTATCAGTGATTGGATTGTAGCATTCTTGGTTGGGCTTGAACATTCCATCTTCCCACATCTTTGTAAGTATCTCGAGCGCCTTAGAAGTTTTCCCAGCTTTGCATAGTCCATTGATCATGGTAGCATAAGTGATTTCATCGCATTTGTATCCTTTCATTTCTATTTCTTGGAAGAACTCCATTGCCTCGGCCAGGGAACGGTACTTGCAAAGTCCATGGAGCAAAGTATTTATAGTATGAGCATCGGGATTAAGACCATATTTAAGGGTAATTGCTAAAACAGAGAAACCCAAATCCACCTGATTCAGACAGCACAAGCAATTCATAAGAATATTCAATGTACCCACCTCAGGTCGGAATTGAGCGCAACCCAGCAACTGTTTACACATAGAAACGACAGCAGAATACTGCTTCATCTTGGAGAGTGCCCCAAACAAACAATTGAAAGTCCAAATAGATGGCAAGGGTTTGGTTTGAATCATGGAATCGAAGTAACCCAATGCTTCATCTTTCCTAATTTTTCCGGATTTGCATCGAGTTTGAATCAAATTGTCCGATTCCAAATGGGGTTGTTTAAATCTATCTGTACTAGTAGCATTAGCATTACCAGCAGCGGAATGAAATCCATCTTTTTTGTGCAGAAAGGTAAATATGAATGAAGGATTACCTGTTGAGTTAGGAAGTCTCGTGGTTATCGTCTTTATCTTCATCTTCTACAGATTCAGCCCAGTTCATGAAATCCCATGAATTTCAATCCTTCTCTGGAATTAAGCTGCAATTGAAAAGAAACTGACTTCAATTGGTTCTTGTTTCAAACCCTAATTCTGTATTCTGCAAAACAACACCCTTATGGTGAGGAGGATTTTGCTTGCAACCTCAAAATCTTGTGCCGATTACATAAAAATATATGCAACATGTACACAGTGTCATAATCTATACAAGTGTTATAATCTATATATCTATATGAGATTAAAAAGGTGAAGTTTTTAAAAAGTTCTTAAAATATCGCTTTTTTTTTCTTTTTTTAAGGAATACAACTTAATTAAAAAGAAAAAAACTATAAAAATACAAAATAAAAATCCCTCACGCACATGCATGTGGTCATTTACCACAATGGTATAAAGGTATTCTGCCCTTGCATAACAGCGTAAGTTCGAATCTCGTCGGTGACTAATTTAATATTTAACTTACTAACTACTATAACTACTATCGTAGTGGGATTGTGATTAGTTTGTAAGTTCATTATTTTTCCGAATATATCTTAATCAAATTTTTTAAACCAAATCACTACGTATTTATCCAACTATTTTTTTTTTGTTTCATTCTAAAACCATAATTTTTGTTTCACATTCTAAACCCTGAAAGTAGTCAACCAAAAAATAACATTGTACAATCCCCCAATAAGCAAAGCCAAATCCTAGAAGCATAACCAAAGAAGTTTTAAAAATAGAGAAATTAGGTTCACATCCTTATTTTTGTTATTCCATTGATTAAAATCCTATTCATTTTCAATTTTTTATCAAGGTCCTTGGGTATTAATAACATCATTAATTATTTGAATAATAAAATATTTTTATTTTTAAATATATTCCTTTAGTGTTAAAAATGTTACAATTAGTATATTTATATTTATGGCTAAATTTTTTATCATATATTTTTATTTTTAGTTTGTACCTATTTTTAATTTGTACCAATTTTTTTTATTTTTAATTTGTACCCATATATTAGTTTCTTTTTGTGCCCATATTTTTTAAAGTTTTATTTGTGTTTGTACCCATGTGTATACATTCACGTGACATTGTATATTTAATCAATGATAGAAAAATTACATATGATATATTTATGATTTATGCCTAAACTTTGTATCATATATTTATATTTTTAGTTTGTACCCACTTTTAATTTGCAACATTTTTTTAAATTTGTAGTATTTTATTTTTAGTTTTATTTTGTACCCATGTATTAATTTCTTTTAGCGTCTATATTTTTTAAAAATTCATTTGTACTCATAATTTTTTAATCTTTTATCTATATCCTAATTGATTTATAATGTACACATTCTTCTTTATTAATGTGCCACTTTGTTATATGTGAAATGTACCAATTTTTTTAACACTATGGATACATTCTTTTGCCATTTATTATTTCTTATTTTTACATAGTTTTTATCCATTTATTCAATCAAAATGTTTGAATTTTTTTATTGTAACCGTTTCTAATAGTATTATAATGAGGGATTTTAAATTTATAGGATTATAAATCTCATAAAATATCAAACAATTAATATCAAAACTATAAAAATATAAATATTAATTATAATATAATGAGGTGTACAAAGTCAATGGACTTTGATCAAACTTTGAATACCATTAAGGTTTTAGTAAAAGAATGTTAAGGATTAGAGACCACATCCAAAGTATCCCTTTAAAAAATCAATATCCTAATCAATGTAGAGCTTAATTGAAACTGCTTTGAAAATGATTTTTCAGAGAAAATATTTTTAGATTCTAAAAGCACTTAAAATATTTCTTGCAAGAAGACAATTATGTGCTTCTTGCTCGAAGCAATAAAATGTTTTTTCAGAACTCACTTGCATTTTTACTAAGTATTGGTTCCAAAAACATTTTCACCAAAACCGCTTTCAATTGTTTTAGAAGCTGGACTCGCCGCAAACGAGTTCACTTCTAGAATTCCGCAAATGAGTTCACCTTGCTGTGACTAATTTCGAGGTTGCTCCATGAGTTGGTTGTTTTTTGTTTTCAGCGGATTGTTCTAGGAGAACGTTGCTGGCTGAAGCACATAAATTCAAAGAGCAAACAACTTCATCATCAACATCTAAACACACACACTGAATGAGTTGTGCACATTATCAATGCAGCGAAGGATTCCTAATCAAAAGGAAATCCAAGTACGAGAAGCTAAAACGCCTAGGACTAGGACTGCGTATGAATCTCGGTTTCCTTCACAGAAGCAGATGACGCGATGGAGACGACGGTGGTGGAGTTGCACAGGGAGATAAAGTAGTATGTGATAGATTTGCAGATAAAAGTTAGATGCATATGCCTGACTAACAAATCTCACTAACATCTGAGAGTTCCAATATATATAAACAGAGCAGAGACCTATAGTACCTCGTAAAATCAACAGACTCGAACCAAGAAGAGGTCAAATGAAAATACGCCGTGCCAGTTCATTAGGCAATCGACATAGCGATCAGAGCATACAAATGGGTTTACTGTTATCAAGAAACAACAGAGATTACCAAACACACAATTCATCGAAGCAGTTTGAAAGAACTATACAACTGAAATCCCTTATCTTAAGCTGCTTAGCTTCATTATTGATTACCTTAAAATCAAAGTATAATATGACCGCCCGAGCAAGAAAGAACTACATTACTTTGATCCAAAGGACAGTACTTCACATGGATAGAAGTAGCAAGAAAAGATACAATTACAAAAGATGTATTCGACAGCACTAGTGGCTTTAAATCTAGGAGAAACCTAGTTTTGTGGTGACACATATATTGGGCTAAAAGCTCGATTCGGATATCCCAGACCATTTGGAGTGTTAAAAAAAATATATATATATATATATGTATATGTCATTCTCTGAAAGCCAAACACAAACTATATCATCATCTTAGTTTTGGTATTAATTTGCAAATACGCACCACACCATCCACATCTTTACATTTGAAGCACCCAAGGATGCAAGATAAACAGAATAACGAAGTGCTTTTTCGTACTACATCATTATACACTAAAAACAATAACGGGCTAAAGAAGAAGCTCCTGAATCAGAGTGGGGAGGAGAACCATACTAACCTGACACCGCTTACTCAGGGCTCCGCAGGAGATCAAGGTCCAGGTCAGTTTTATAATTTTATCTGCTGGTCGAATCCCTTGAACAAAAAGGATGTTACTTATACATCAACTACAGTAATGCTAATCCTCCTCTTTTCACATGGGCAAAAAGACACACAAGTACATGCATGTATTGCTCATTACAAGCAAAGTCATACGCAGTATCATAGTAAAGGAAGGTGGAATGCCAGAGTTACAAAAAGTTCACATTGTAAGCATGGTCTCTCGGAGTACTTATCTCTTTAGAATTGTAGAATAAAGGACAGCAAGAACAAAACTAACTTCTTCTGACATGAACCTAGGTCAGATACGCCCGGCCAAAAGGAGCTTTAAGTGGAAGGTAGAAGTCACAATACCTATCAAAACGGCTTGATTTCACACTCATATTGCCAAAACGTTATTGAGGGACAAAGAAAATTATTCAATTTAAACACAATAGTTACATAAAAATTTAGAGTTGGGCTCATGGTCCTTATTGACTTGATTTCAAGCTCGATAGATCAGTCAATAACCATACCTAATTGAACAAAGTACAAATCGGAGTGCATTAAACAAATTTCTAACCTTTACAATTCCCACGATACTGCAGACATTCATACATACAGAGCAGAGAGCAGTTTCTTCAAGGTAAAGCGTTATCCATCGAGAATGTATTGATCATCTTGATTTTCTCCGTCAACCCTAGCATCATCATGAACCAAAATATTCACATGGTGCAAGTTCTGCATCATTTGTGATAAATAATGGTTACTAGCACTTGTATGATCAGACTGTCCAGCTGGATGAGCAGGCCACTGAGAGACAATCCCAAGTAACTGGCTTGTAAGGCTTTGTTGCTCATGAAGAATACGAGTCTGCATCTGGCCCATCTCTGCCCGGTGGTGAGCCAACATTTCATCAATCCTCGTCTTCCATTCTGTTCTCCTCCTATTCATCCTCTCCTCCCATTCCCTCTCATGAATCAACTCGTCCTCTTTTCTTCTTCTTTCTCTCTCTTCACTCTCCTTCTCTAATGCTAATGCTTCCCATTCTAGAATCCTCTGCTTCTTTAACTTCTCTCTTGTCTTCTCTTGCGTCTCCTTTTTATTTGCCCATTCCTCCCATTTCTGCTCTCGTTCTTGCTCACACTCCATTCTAAAATTCTCACTCCTCCGTCTGTCCCGTTCTCTCTCTGCCTCGCGATGCTCAAACCGTGCCTCCATTTTCTTCAACTTGCCCAGTTGGTTACCTAGAAAGGCCCATGCCTTCTTCTTTCCCAACCCCGTCGACACCTCCCTCTTCTTCTTCCTCTTCTTTAAATTATGACCATTTTGCTCAACTTCTTCAAACACAAACTTGTCATCTCCATCCTGCCTCAACCGATCACAACGATTAAAATTCTCCTCTCCCTCCTCCCCGTCAAACTCAAATCCCAAACCCATCACTGCATTCTCAACCCCATCAATCCCCGCCCCAAAATCCCCATCTGAATGCCCCAATTGCCCAAAGTCCACAAGCCCCATTCCCCTCCCACTCCCCACAAACCTCCCACCATTCTCACCATCCCCATTCACAGACACCACCAAATCATTACCACTATTACTCACAATCTCCACATCCCCAAAAACCTCCTTATACCTCAAAAAATTCGACCAATGCGCAAGGCCCTCCATCCAATCAAACTCCTCCTCACTACACTCCCCACTCCCACCACCACTACTACCACCACCATCAGGTCCACCACCACCCCCACCGCCCCCCGAATTACACTCGGGTTGCTGCTTCTTAATCTTCTGCTTGACAAGCAAATACTGGTGCCTCATGTTCTGGACCTTGGTGGAAACATCCTTCCAAGACCACTGCCAACGATACGCAATCGGGTCTCGAACATGGTGCACAGAATTCACATAGCAGGCAATGGGTTTAAACTTTTTCTCTCTGGTTTTCATTTTAGCAAGGGTCCCATCAGAGACCATCTCTCCATATCTGTCGATCAGAGTTCTCTCCTCGGACTCTGTCCACTTCTTTCTTCTCGACGGCATCATTTTTGTGCCCAAGAACCAATCTTTACTGTGCAAAAACAACCTCAAATCCTAGGGGCTAATGCCTAACAGATAAAATCTAACACACCCAGATCGAGAAAACATGAGAATTGAGCAGCAAAGTAGAGAGAATGGAGTGAGAGCTTACCTTGGGAAGGAGATTGAGAACCCGTGGTGGGGATTTTCTCGGGAAAATTGGCAGAGAAAGTGAGGGGGAGTTGTGGGAGAGTGATCTGTGGGGATTCCTGTAGTTTTCTGAATCTATTGACTCAGATAGTTAGGAGGAGGACCAACAGTTTTAACTGCGGACTTGAAAAATTCGGTGTCGAACTACCGGAGTAGATAAACTAGACACAAGGGGAAGCAGAATTGGTATGTCCGAAATTTTTTGTGGTTTTATTTTATTTTATTTTGTTTCAAGCTTTTATTATTTATTGATCTAAAAGAAATGGCTTATTACGAATTCGCTCCTAAAACTTATTTGTTTACCCACTTTGGTCCATTTTTCAAAGGGAAATGACTTCTTGATTATGGCTGGCCATAGTTTGGGTTGGTACGGTTTTGGGTCTAAACAACGGGATTTAGATTATCTTCGAATCTTCTTACTGAGATCTTATGGATCAATGCATAGTAACCGTTCATAAAAAATCGTGCGGTCATAATTTTTTTATTTTATATTTTTCAAGTAAAACGAGACTATTTTACTTTTTAAAATATAAAAAGCATTTAATTTTGACCGCACGATCTTTGATGAACGGTTACTATGCATTGATCCCCAGGATCCCTAGTGAGGGGATCCCCAGGATCCCTAGTGAGGGGATCCCCAGGATCCCTAGTGAGGGGATCCGGAGAGGATCTAAATTCCAAACAACGAACCAAATTGTATGCTTTTGTTGCCCCAATTTTAAACCACAAACAAATCATAATGGGTTAAAATTGTGGTTTAAAAAGTGAGGGGATCCGGAGAGGATCTAAATTCCAAACAACGAACCAAATTGTATGCTTTTGTTGCCCCAATTTTAAACCACAAACAAATCATAATGGGTTAAAATTGTGGTTTAAAATTAAGGCTATGTCGAAGTAATATTAGAAATATTTTGTAACCTATTCATTTATAAAAATATTCATCTTCAATCGGTTAAAATACTTATTCTCATAACTCAACTTCTATTGTTGGAGACGCCGCCGTCAAAATCTAGCAAGACTTCCGTTCACCACCAATTATTCTACCATTTTATATTTAATGGGTTTAAATAGAAGCTCCCTAAATTTAATGTGAATAAAAGGGCGCAAATGTGTTTGTATAGTAGGGTTGGTTTGGTATTGCTGTGATTTGAAAAGAAGTTGCTTCTGCTGTGTTGTGAGAATAAGCAGCTATGAAATAAAGCAGCAGAGCATTTAGTAAACTTTTTTGTAAAAGTGCTTTTGAAAAAAAAAAGCAGTATTATAGTCTTTGGTAAACTTTTATGTAAAACAAATGTGAAAAAAAAATCAGTTTTTCGAAGATGGGCTTTGCAGCTTCTTGTTTATGGCTTTTTTTTTACCCAAAACTGTGAAAAAAAGTTAAAGCTGAATGTTTACCAAACACAAAAACAGCTCCCAGCTTTTTTTGATACCAGTTTTTTTCAGAATCACATCAATACCAAAGCAGGCCTAAGTCGGGTGAAACGACTAATTGACTTGATAGACAAAAACTCTAATCTAACAAACCATAATTATGAATTCTCATTAATTTACTAAATCTAACTTAGACATTGATCACCTAGTATTATGGTCTAGTGATATTTCTTTTTACTTGCAAGCGAAAGGTTTTAGGTTCGATTTTCGCCCCAAGGCGAATTCGAACCACATGATTGCTAGCCCATTGTGAGGCTAAGTCCACCCCATTCCTCTTAGGTGTAGAAAATATAGTTTGTTCAAAAAAAAATCTTAAGACATTCGAAAATCTTAGACTAAGGTAATTGTTTCTAAGCCAAGAAATTATATTATGAATTCTCATTAATTTTTCTAAATCTAACTTCGATATTTGAAAACTTTAGACTCACACTACATCGGCGTGACAATTCACTTTTAAAGGCAAGGCAAGGCTTCCTACTTGCCTGAGTTGCCTCCAGCCTTTCATTTTTTAACAATTCACTTTTGAAGTATGCCAATCCTTTTCTTCTCTGGGTGCTTTTAGCAAAAGCACAAGTTCAGCTAAAGCAAGAACATATGGATGGTGAGTAAGAAGCACTTTTCTTCACTAAAAGAATTTATAAATTTCATCATTTCCTGTAATTTAATTTCATCAGTAACAAATTCCCCCAAACTGCTGTAAATCTTATTTAACCATACAAGAAAACATGTTCAAGAAAAAGGAAAAACAAATGGAGACTCAAGTATGGGGGAGTCCCTACAAACAACAAACTGCAACCTGATACCGTACCAGTGCATAAACTTCACCATCTGCGGCGCGGCTATCAGGAATTCGAGGATGAATCTAAGTGGCTCGGACTTTTGAATCCGGAGGGTTCCTTGGGTGGATCATTTCCCATGTCCTTTGTTTTGTGAAGGAGAAATGTACCGGATAATATAGTGATGAAACCACACAGTTCAGTCACTATGTGTGATCCATTTTGTGACTCCCAGTCCTGCAACCGAAAGGAAGGTTAAAAACCGGATTGTGAATAAAACCGAGTATTTAGCATCTGTAGAAAATGATTCTCGTCGATGCCAAAAGAGCGAGACAAATCGAAGCACTACAAACATTTTGAAAGTAAATGTACCTTGAACAAGATCACACTGGCAAGAATGGTGAATATTGTGAACATAACGTAGTAGACTGGAGATATGACGGCAGTGTTAAACGTGTCAAGAGCCTGCAAAAATTGCATAGACAATATGGACTAAGCATTCGCCGGATAACAAGATTTAGAGTCAGTTAAGTGCACGGTGTCTAACACTAAATAACTGATATTTCAGGACCCCAACTGTGTGTGTTTCTATACAGCATCTGAAACTTTCTTACGAGTTTGGCCTTCGCTTCTCAATTTTTAGCAACTTATCGAATTTGACAAGGTTCAAAAGTTTGATTATCTTGTAATCTTCAAACTGTCCAGACACTAAATCAAATTAATCAACAACTCTGATTCTCTAACTTTGTAGATAACGAAAACTACAACGGTAAACAGAATGGACGCGGTTTCTTGGGAACTATATACCTTGTTTAAGTAGTTGATCTGAAAAAGACAGCATACTGTCACTATCAACACAAAAATCCAAGTCTCGAAGAATTTAAATTGATTTGTTCCGGAAAACGTCAGCTTCAGAGCTATTCCCACTGCCTTCACACTCATAACCTGTAGAGGAATCAGAGGTAATAGAAGGATTACTTTATGGTACACCACAATTAATAACATCAACGAGCTTCAAAATTATGAAACAGACCGTAAGAGATCCCATGAGTGAACAGATACCAACATAGACGATCATGTGGGTTTGCCCGTAGCGTGGCACATATCGGACAATGAGGACAGCAACCAGAATCAATACTATACATGTGTAGATGATGAAACCTGTGAATAACGAAATTAGTTGTACTAACTCTGTCTCGGATGTTCATAAACTAAGAGACTAAAGTAAAGCTGCAAATACCTGGCTGCGTAGCATGATGCCATACTTGCTTAACGGAATATATTGGTTTCTCTTGTGGAGCATGCAATACAATACTTACAGAACCCACCACGCAAAGAACACAACCAAGCACACCAAAATATGCAATTTTTCCTTCAAAACAAAATGAGCAAGCACTGCACTGGAAAAAAAAATGTCGTCCTTATAAAAACACTCACACGCAAACACTGCTATCACAACAGCATGTGTGTATACACGCACAAGCCCATATGTTTAATACATCAACCGGCAGACAAAGGATATAACAAAAATAGACGAGGGCAGTGTCAAGATGTTTCATACCTGACAATAATACTTAAAGCTCCCAAGGGAGTTACGAGAATTGCCGGAGCAAATGCATAAGCCGCAAAGTTAGCTATCTCCCCAACAATCACTGAGAAAGAGAATAAACTCAGCATTAGCAAATGAGTGTCAACCACAGTAATTCTCCGATAAACAATTCTAACTTAGCATGCAATAATTTGAAAAAAAAAATCCCATAAAAAAATTTGAAACAAATTGAAAGTTTTGTTTATACCATATTTAGGACCTCGTATAAATACTCGAGGGACTTAAATGTAATTATGTAATAAAGGAATTGGCAAATATGTAATAAGTGAGGAGTCCTTATTCTATAAAAGGACCCCTCACCCTCATAATTAGGGGAGGCCATTTCTTAAGCCCTCCTCATCCTCTCAAAGCTCTCACTCTCATTCAGAGCTCTCTCTCCATCAGAAATACAACAATATCAGTGTGGACGTAGCCCAAACCTTGGGGTGAACCACGATACATCTTGTGTTATTTACATTTCTTGCAGATTTACGGTTGGATTTACGTTGTTCCAAGACCTCTGGTTTTGTAATTTATCTTAACAGGACATCTATAACATTGGTTGAAAACACCAATTGGATAATCCCTTCGATTTCATATAGATTTTCCGATCAAAACATAACGTATGGATGGAAAACTTGAGGCTGTTAATGAAACCACAATATCATCCCCTTGTTTCAAATAATATTTGCATATTGCCCCTGGAGAAACAAAGTCAAGGATGTCACTGTTCCGTTCTCTCACACACATAACCCCTTCAACCTAAATAAAAGTTATATCCGAGTACAGATAATTAAATCATGTAGAATATCCAGAGCGTGTCAGTTGAGTATCATGTAAAATGGTGTGATCAAAAGCACTCCTAACACCCGACCCAAAGCCACCTTTTCCACAGTTCTAGTAGACAAAGCAAAAACCAGAAAGAATCCAGAAGAAAATGCTTTCAGATCGGATCAAAGTGAAGGTCATTGTTTAACCATTTTTGCGCACAACTTTCTGTCCATGACCATCATGACTATCTGCATTTCCGATCTCAGAGCAAAGCTCGGCAATGAGCTTCTTCGGTATAACCACACAAAGTGAATCAAGCAAAGCTCGGAAATGAGCTTCTTCGGTATAACCACACAAAGTGAAGGAAGATCTCGTTCTTTTCCGCTGGCTCTTTTTTAAGGTTTGGACATATAAATTACTAGTTCTAATTACAATTTGGAAGTCTTCCCGAAATGACATCATGTAAAGAGTTTAATTTGTGCTTTTAGTAATTTTAGGTCTATAAAGGATATGTATAATGGAGCAAAGACTGCCGTAAGAACTCACAAACCGAAAGCTTCCCCATAACTGTAGGGTTATATCAATGCTCATCTTTAAGTCTTTACCTTTTTGCATTGGTAATGGATGTGTTAACAGGACATATTCAATATGATATTCCTTGGTTTTTCGCAGACAATATAGTGTTGATAGATGAAACTCAGGAAGCGGTAAATGCAAAGCTTAACCTTTGGAGAGAAGTGTTGGAATCTAAAGGTCTTCGCCTAAGCCGATCAAAGACAAAATATATGAAGTGCAAGTTCAATGCAAATGGAGGCCAAAATGAGTTAGGGGTGAGGATTAGAGATCAGGAAGTACCAAAGAGTGACCGCTTTCGCTACCTATGATCTATCTTGCAAAAGAATGGAGAATTAGATGGAGACCCTCAACCATAGAATACAAGCTGGATAGATGAAGTGGAAGAGTGCATCCATAGAATACAAGTTGGTGTATGCTTTTCGCAGACGATATAGTGTTGATAGATGAAACTCAGGAAGGGGTAAATGCGAAGCTTAACCTTTGGAGAGAAGTGTTGGAATCTAAAGGTCTTCGCCTAAGTCGATCAAAGACAGAATATATGGAGTGCAAGTTCAGTGCAAATGAAGGCCAAAATGAGTTAGGGATGAGGATCGAAGATCAGGAAGTACCAAAGAGCGACCATTTTCGCTACTTAGGATCTATCTTGCAAAAGAATGGAGAATTAGATGGAGACCTCAATCATAGAATACAAGCTAGATGGATGAAGTGGAAGAGTGTATCCGGTGTGTTGTGTGACCGCCGTATGCCACTGAAGCTTAAGGGAAAATTTTATAGGATGGCAATAAGGCTGGCGATGTTGTATGTCACGAAATGTTGGACGGCGAAGCATCAACCGTACATATAATGGGTGTAGCGGAGATGAAGATGCTTCGTTGGATGTGATGGCACACAAGAAATGATAAGATTAGGAATGAGGATATCTGAGGTAAAGTAGGAGTAGCCGAAATTGAAGGAAAGATGAGAGAAAATCAGTTACGGTGGTTTGGACATGTGCAAAGAAGGCCTACTAACACTCAAATTAGAAGATGCGACTACAGGATAGAGGTCCATGGCCGAAAGGATAAAGGAAAACCTAGGAAAACTTTAGAAGAGACTCTAAGAAAAGACTTAGAGTACTTGGATCTAACGGAGGACATGACATAGAACCGAACGCAATGATGTTCTAGGATTCATATAGCCGACCCCACTTAGTGGGAAAAAGCTTTGTTGTTGTTGTTGTTGTTGTTGTTTTTGTAATTTTAGGTCTATAAAAACCCATAATCTCAAATTTTTGAAGTTTGATATCAACAGTTGGCCAATAATCATCCAAAGTTCAGTGTCCCGACAAACGAATGCCTACTATCGGTCTGCCTGACTGTGATACTTGTACAGAAAAGGAATCCAATATACTTTCTTCTGGAGGTTCTTAATTTTGTTTTTTGAAGAACTGATGCCGATAGCGTTTAAGGAGACTAGGAGACTCATCACTATCCAAATCCATATTCAAATTTGGTACCGAATGTTGACTTATCAAACGAAGGCGAGTGGTCTATGCCCTTCTCCGGCCTTGGAAAAGCAGCATACTACAGAAGCTAGGGCATTGTTCGCCTTTGGATATGAACACTATTTCATTCTTAGTGAAAACCCACCATAGAGATTGAATGTTGATTTATCTTACTCCACCACAAATAAGTCGACGTTCAGATACTCTACCTTGGCTATGCAGCCAACATATTACAGGTTGCACAGCCATACCGCTCTATGATGTAGCAAAGCACAACAACGAACAATATAAAAGATTCCAAATAAGTAAATGATGGCAGATGCGGCCTTTCCTTGCGAGGAGAAAAACAAATTCATTGGACAAAAAATGGGCGGAGAGAGACAAAAGAAGGGCTGAATTTATAAACACGTCCAACAAGAATGAAGAATCCAGAAAAAAAAAACCAAAAAATAACTTAAAGAATGCAACAATGCTAACAAACAAAGCAATTAGAACAAGAGATGATTAAACTTACTTGCTATCATCCCAGCCCACCACAAGGGTTCATACAAGTACGTATACCCTCCTAATCCTGAATCCGAAAATCCACAAACTCAATTAACAAAACATCGACGAAAACAACGAAATTGTAGGCAAATTTCCAAAGATATTTGAGGATTCAAGACTCTAAATAACGATAAAGGCGCAACGGAAAAGGGAATGAAACCTGCTCTGGTTCCTGTAGCGCCGGCCTTTTTAAGACCTTTCTTCTTGATGATAAAACTAGTGCCAATGAAAATGCTTGAAGAAACCGCAAGAGTGAGTCCATGAACATTGTCACGCGATATCCCCATTGATCACACAAAATATGGAGGAAAACTTTGCAGGGCCAAGAAATATTATATCCAAAAATCCAAATTAAATTCCTGATCCATAAAACCAGGCCAAGCAGATCACACAAATAACACAATCAATCCCAGAATAAATACATGCATTTAAATAAATAAAAATAGAAAATGATCATAAATATAAACAGCATACCTTCTTGGCACGCTGCAAAAGAAGGCAATGGGAGTTAAAAACCCACCACCACCATGATGTCTGTAATTTTATGGGGCTTTTTTTTACATCCGACGTAAGAAAGTGATTGAATCGATGAAGATGGTAAATGGGGTTTCTGTGAAGGAAGGGAGGGAGGGAGGAGGGAGGGAGGGAGAGAGAGAGAGAGGGGGGTTTGGTGGTTTCTTGTGAGGCTAGCTGAGGCAACGGTATGTCCGTTACGTTGGCGTATGAGAAACGAATGCCCTCCGCATCCCGCGTTCCTGCCATATGCCTATGTGAATTGTGTTATTTTAGTGTGTTGCTTCGAGGTTAGATTCTCGGATAAATTTTTTATTGTAAACGGAATTGTCTCTACTAATTAATGAATTTTTTTTTATCAACTAAAGGAGAATAAAAAGATAAATTAATCTTCTATCACACAAAAAAAATGATGGGCAATAATGTAATTTCACATGTCTAAATTTTACTTTTTTTTTATTTAATCGGTTACGGTGGTTTGGACATGTGCAAAGAAGGCCTACTGACGCTCCGATTAGAAGATGCGACTATGGGACAGAGGTTCAGGGCCGAAGGGGTAGAGGAAGACCTAGGAAAACTTTGGAAGAGACTCTAAGAAAAGACTTAGAGTACTTGGATCTAACGAAGGACATGACACAGGACCGAGCACAATGGCGTTCTAAGATTCATATAGCCGATCCCACTCAGTGACTTGGATTTTCCAAGTCTCCAACCGAGAAGTTTTCCTCACTCGAAAAATTAAGGGAACACTACCTCAACCTACATGCTCCACTCAGAAAGCTTCAACATACAAGCTTCAACAAAAGAAAATTCAAAGAACTTAGCGAAGAAGGCTTTGGTGTATTTAACACAATACGTTGAAATGAAGGAAAACTTATTTATTGATATCTCCGATAAGCTACAAATATGTACATATACATGAGTCAAAATAAACAAACAAGATGGAGCCTTCACAAAGGTTGCTTAGGAGAAGTCTCAGCAGTCGGTAGAGCCCCAGAAAGAGAAGGCATCGGAGGGGGATCATTCGGAGCCTCAGTACTGGACAGAACCCTAGAAGGAGGAGGCATCAGAGGTTGATCATTTGGAGCTTCATTACGCGGTACAGCCCCAGAAGACGAAGGCAATAAATGCCTTTGGAACAAACCCACAAATCTCTGATGATCAAATAAAACCTGACCATCAGTTTCCTTCATCTGGTCAAGCTTCCTCTTCATGTTTGTAGCATAGTCATGTGCGAGCCGGTGCAACTGTTTATTCTCATGCTTGAGCCCTCTAATCTCCTGTTTGAGACTCATCACTTCGGCCGCCAATGATTCAACTTGGCGGGTTCGAGCAAATAGGCGTTGGGCCATATTAGACACAGAACCTGCACACTGAACACTGAGAGCCAGTGAATCCTTAACAGCTAACTCATCAGACCGTTTGGAAAGTAGTCTGTTATCTTTGGGAGTGAGAAGGTTCCTGGCCACCACCGCAGCGGTCATATCGTTCTTCATCACGGAATCCCCAACGGTAAGAGGACCAGTAGGGGAGACGAAGGATGGGCGCCATATGTTGTCTGGAGAAGGCGGGGCTGCCTCTTCAACAAGGTTCAAGTCAAAACGACGGTCTGAGGGGCCAGACATTTTTCAAAGGTATTAAAGAGAGAAGAGGTCGGACAAATCAAGATCTTAGAAGTGCAAGAATGGAGCTTCTACTGGTGGAGATTCAAGTGTGCTTTGGAACTTAATGCCAGCCCCTATAAAAAGCTGCACTCGACGGAGCTTCAGACATCGAAGAGGCGCCTGCTCAGAAATCGAAGAGGCGTTTGCTTTCTCAAAAGCTGGGCTGCTTAGAGACCACGAGGGTTGATTTCATAAATCGAAGAGGTGTTTGCTTTCTCAAAAGTTGGGCTGCTCAAAGACCACAAAAGTCGATATCAGAAATCGAAGAGGCGCTCGCTTCCTCAAAAGCTGGGCTCCTCAGAGACCACGAGGGCCGATCTCAGAAATCGAAGAGGCACCTACTTTTCCAGCCTTGTCAGCACCTGTCACACGCACACTCAGCTTTGCGGAAATTATGGGTATTCTGTCGAAGACTTCTGGGGAAGTAGAAAACACATGAATCTTACTGTCCAATCACCCACTTCCCACACGCAACAATAGCTCATGGGTACCACAGATAACTTTGCCAAAGTTCTCTGCCAAAGTTGAGCACGTGAAGCTTGCAGCTCCCACTACATCGCTCTGACCAAGAAGGGTAAAAGAATAGCAAAGAAACAGCACTAACAAAGTTTAGACCCATAAATTTTGAAGGTCTAGCTACTATATTATTACCCACAAGGGTAAAGGAACAGTACCACTGTTGGATAATTGGAAAGTCCCTGTGTGTCAACCTCTGTGCCTCGTGGCAAGGTAGACTAGCAAACATGCCCAACCTTTACTCACATTCGAGAAAACACTCCCAATAAGATTGCTTGCTCCAAAATCGAAGAGGCACCGTCCTCCGAATCTCGAGAGCCAGACTCCCAACATGACTACTTTCTCAAAAATCGAAGAGAGGGTAAAGGAACAGTACCATTGCTGGATAATTGGAAAGTCCCTGTGTGTCAACCTCTGTGCTTCGTGGCAAGGTAGACTAGCAAACATGCCCAACCTTTACTCACATTCGAGAAAAAACACTCCCAACAAGATTGCTTGCTCTAAAATCGAAGAGGCACCGCCCTCCGAATCTCGAGAGCCAGACTCCCAACATGATTACTTTCTCAAAAATCGAAGAGACACTGCTCCCCGAATCTCGAGAGCCAGACCCCCAACATAATTGTTTTCTCAAAAATCGAAGAGGCGCTCGCTTTCTCAAAAGCTGGGCTGCTCAGAGACCACGAGGGCCGATCTCAGAAATCAAAGAGGCACCTTCTTTTCTAGCCTTGTCAGCACCTGTCACACGCACACTCAGCTTTGCGGAAATTATGGGCATTCTGTCGAAGACTTCTGGTGAAGTAGAAAGCACATGAATCTTACTGTTCAATCACCCACTTCCCACACGCAACAATAGCTCATGGGTACCACAGATAACTTTGTCAAAGTCTCTGCCAAAGTTGAGCACGTGAAGCTTGCAGCTCCCACTACATCGCTCTGACCAAGAAAGGTAAAAGAATAGCAAAGAAACAGCACTCACAAAGTTTAGACACATAAATTTTGAAGGTCTAGCTACCATATTATTACCCACAAGGGTAAAGGAACAGTACCACTGCTGGATAATTGGAAAGTCCCTATGTGTCAACCTCCGTGCTTCGTGGCAAGGTAGACTAGCAAACATGCCCAACCTTTACTCACATCCGAGAAAAAACACTCCCAACAAGATTGCTTACTCCAAAATCGAAGAGGCACCGCCTTCCGAATCTCGAGAGCCAGACTCCCAACATGATTACTTTCTCAAAAATCGAAGAAACTGCTCCCCGAATCTCGAGAGCCAGACCCCCACCATGATTGCTTTCTCAAAAATCGAAGAAGCATCGTTCTCCGAATCTCGAGAGCCAGATACCACATACCACATTTTCAAAGTGCTCTGACAGAGTTAAAACATGTGAAGCTGGCAGCTCCCACTACCGTGCTATGACCAAGCAGGGTAAAGGAATAGCATTACTACTTGTTGTTAGGGAGACTCCTATATATGTCGACCTCCATCCCCAACGGACAGGCAGACCTGCAAAAATGCTCAACCCTTCCTCATATCTGAGAGGGCACTCCCAACGAAGCCTTTCGAAATATTCAGCTTTCTTTCCCCCCGATAATACCTCTGCAAACAAGCTATACTAGAGCAAGAATATCTCATATCATCAGGGTTAAAAGCAAGAGTATCCCATATCATGCTTTTTCCCTGTCTTTTCCTTTGGCCTTGTTTTTTACCTGCAAGACAAGGAGAAAGAGAGCAATCAGTCAGCACTTGAAATCAAGCTCCCAGCCAGGAACTGACAGCCTGGAACCCCTTACCTGATTACTTACCTGGCATTGCTCTCGAGTACTCATCTTCAACATCTTATGTTGCCAGGGAAGATACCGCATCTGCTTGAGGAACAGATAGGGCAAGTGCGAAGGATACAAGGAAGCATGTGGAGACAAGCGTAACAGCACACGTCCCGATCCATCCATTACTCTGTCAAAAGCAAAAGTATCCCATATCAGCAGGGTCGAACGTACTCTAGATTTGATGGACTTGTTTTGACCCTCAAATTCTTCAGTCGGCCTTATACTCTGGAGGAAACCAGAAAACCCTCCAGCTCAGTTCAAGAATAAGCATGTGGAAAGTTACTTCTTCAAAAGCAAAAGTATCCCATATCATCTCTTCTCATTTTTCTTCTCTTTATCCTTCATGCTGCTGCAAGATGGGGAGAAGGTGAACAATCAGCCGGAGCTCTGATTGCTTACCTTGTCTGTCACCTCTTTCAGCAAATCCCCTAGCTCGGCGACTTGGGGGACTCCTACTACATGGTTTGTATCGCGCTTGACCAAGCCTGAAAACTACAAGTAAGCTTCAAGTGAAATTGATACATTACCTTGTGCATCTTCACCAGTTAAAGATACCACCCCTGGATGGAGGAAGAGTACTTCCAGAGAAGCTGCCACATCTACCTATGAGACAGATAAGGCAAGTCGATACCACACTCCGATACTTAGAAGTTTCGTGATTACGAGATCATTCTCCCACAATATTTCCTAATGTCATTTGTACTCTAATGTCATTTGTACTAAATCATTCACTTGTACTCACTAAAGGAGAGCTTGAACCTATGTACTTGTGTAAACCCTTCACAATTAATGAGAACTCTTCTATTCCGTGGACGTAGCCAATCTGGGTGAACCACGTACATCTTGTGTTTGCTTTCCTATCTCTATCCATTTATATACTTATCCACACTAATGACCGGAGCAATTTAGCGAAGATCACAAAAAGCGACCGTTTTCGCTACCTAGGATCTATCTTACAAGAGAACGGAGAATTAGATGGAGATCTCAACCATAGAATACGAGCTGGATGGATGAAGTGTAAGAGTGCATCCAGCATGTTGTGTGACCGTCGTAGGCCACTGAAGCTCAAGGAAAATTTTTATAAGACGGCAATAAGGCCAGCGATGTTGTATGGCATAGAATGTCGGGCGGTGAAACATCAACACGTACACAAAATGGGTGTAGCAGAGATGAGGATGCTTCGTGGGATGTGTGG